ATGCCAATATTTATTCATCATGCAAAGACAGAGTAACATAAATAAGTCCTTGTTGCTCCTCATCTTGGGCCATATATCCTCTTTCACCAATCCATTCAGCAGATCAGGCAACAACGAATTTTTTGACTCCACATTGCTAAAAATTATCTTCTCCAACAAAGTAGTCACATCAACAAGAAATTTAAACACAACCCAAGCAAATTGCTGTAATCGTAGCCAAAATATCTATATCAAGACACCTACAACCTCAGCAAATTATAATTTTTTGATGTCAAAAAACAATGATATGAAAACTACATGGAAAGAATCAATCATGGTGGTAATAAGAGAGGTAATGTGAGAAAAAGTGTTGGAACACATCACCATACTAACATCAATATGCCAGTAGGATTATCCACCTAAAGTCATCAACTAGGCCAAATCCAGGCACATAGGCACAATTCTTACAAGTAGACTAGACTGACTGTTGCTCTCTAATTTGCTGAGGTACCAATTGTAGCACAAATGGAATTCCAAAGAAAATGGTGGGGCAAACCCAAGTAGTGGAATTATGTAAATCAGCTTGATTCCAATGCGCTTGATAACGAAAGCAATATCTTCATTCCACATCACCTTCTTTGATGTGATTCGATTTGGTTCCAACAAATGCGCCTCACATGGAGGATTGCTGAATGGGCGCTCGGACGACGTTTTGTGATGAGGTGCGTATTTTTCTTGAGAGTGTTTTCAAGATAGACTGATGGGCATACTAAATCAGAGTCCAGGCCCTTCTAAATTACTCATTAATATACTCACACTTTGTGATATCCACGAAGACTGTAAATTGGCAGATGTGGGGAGTACTGAATTTGTGCGAGTCTCCCAGGAGGGCGAGGAATATGTAGCTACCCCTCTGGATAAACTTGAGCACTGTAGAAATAGTTAAGTACGCAACATTGGCACCGTTCGAAAGTGTGGGTTTTCAATCACCTTGTGTCGATGATGGAATGTGAAGAGATATAAGGCATTTTAGCAGGAAGCGCTCTCTGGCATGCTCTTGTCCCTTCTTAACAAGGAACTGTTGACGTGGTTATTGAACTGGCAACAAAACAGATACATTCATAATGTGTAATTCCCAACTTCATTGAGTAAAGCAGTTCAGTCCATACTTGCAAGCTGCTTATCCAAGCTACATTTTCAGCGTTATCGCCCACGAGAAGGTTACTTATTACAACTCTAACTAGAAGGGTCACCGCACCCTCCTCTTCCTATCGTTATTTATCAAAACTGGTTCACTGTTTTGGACAAGCTTGAGTCCTTTTCATGACAAGCATTAGCACGTCACCAGTCTTGGCCGGACTCTGATTGACGTGGACTTCTTGGGATTATAACCCCAATCTGTGATTCTAGTAGGAGTACTTTTTCACATAGGTTTCCTGTCCCATTGCCTCACAACACTAGGTTTTCTTGCGACACTGCAGGAGGATGTGGCAGTTAACTGTCGTGTTGAGATTCAACTCTCTATCTGGAAGAATCAGGCTATTGATTGTAGTTCATTGCTCATCTAGATTTGAATACTGTGCTATGTCGACAAAATAGCCTGGGAAGTCTTGCTCCAAAGGTGAAAGGCGACATGTACGCTTCTTAGTTTAATTGAATTATTAGTCAATGAAAAGCGTAGTTTTTGCTTATACATGAATACTATTCACCTCTGCTTCTACTGTGCGTACAATGCACGCTTCTCTCCTCCACTATGTTAATCTCTTGTATCGATTGTTGTTTTCCCCTCGATGGAGCCGCTCGTAACACTCCAGATAGAATCGCTAGACTGGTGATGAGGATGTCTGTTATGTATGTGGGGGTGAGGCCAACAGGCTGGGTTGTGAGGTTGAGGCTCTTTTAAAAAGCAACCAAGAGGGGTTGAATGAGTTGGATTGATTTTTTTTTTCCCTTGTTGAGAGCCCTACTTAGTGGCAGCTACAAGGCAGCGCAACTGTAATCTAATAAACACGAAGGGCGTGCACAAGTCTTATGTAATTTATTAACAAATATAAGATTGAATAATCTTTATCAGTATTAAACTACTTGACTTGACTGTGAAATTACAACTTAACTACCCATGTTCAAGATGTTTTGATTTTTTTTTTACAATATATTTTAAGATATTACAAAAAATTGAAGTTGAAATTATGACAATAGAATTTTAAAAATTAAATATTAAAATGATATTTTTTTTAAAATCTTGAATTACTATTTCAATAAAAAAAATTAAAGGTAAGATTTTAATATGGATTGCCCAAATATTATCCAAATTAAATAAATGATCAAAATTTAAATATTTTCCATATTTTCTATAATAAATATAATTTTGAGATTTTTATTTTTATTTTTATTTTTATTTTACTATTTTACTATTTAATAATTTAAAAAGACATATACTAATGTTAATAATAATGTTGAAATATAATATTCTTATAATATTAAATTATTTTGTCAGATCTAAAATCTAAAGATGCAATATAATATCTTTCATAATACATTTTTAATATTTTATATTAGATTTATATATATATATATATATATATATGTAAATCTAATAAAAAACATTTTAAGTTTATCACAACAATCTCATTATTATAATTTTTTTAGTGTTTTATAATCTATATCAATAATATATGCATAAGTTGTCTATTTGTCTCCAAATAAATTAATTATAAAAATGTTGGCTATTGAACTACTGTTATGATAAAATGTCAAAGTGACTTCTTATATTTGGACTTGTTCACAAATAGAATAGACTTAGATATACATATGTTCACTATAGTTATAAAATTATAAGTTAATAATAATTAAATTATAATATATAATTATGTGGTAGATAATATCTAAATTTTAAAGTTATCTAAATAAGATTAACTAAATAATTTTATTTAGTTTATTACAATTTAAAATTTAATTATTTTTTTATAAAATAAAGATAGTTGGAACTTACCAACAATAGAACATATCATCTTCTTTCTTTCAAATAAGCCAAATTCTAACCTAAAGTTTATTCTATTTTATATTTAATTCTTGAGAGATTATATAAAAGCCTTCAAGGCATCATCTTTATACATGTATTCATTACAATATCTAATGCTTTTGTATTCTCAAAAATTTAATTTAATAACAAGGCGATAATATATTATATCTTTTTAAGCTATATGAATTTTTATTTGAAATCAAAATAAAAAAAATCTTTAACATTATTCATATTCTTATTGTCTTTAGAACTAAAAGGTTTTTGTTCTTATTTTTAGTGTCTATTATTTAAGATATTATAAGTAGAATATAAAGTAAGGATATAATTAAATTTTGATATAATTTTTATTTAATCATATAATATTTTACATTCCAAGAGTTTTTTTAAAAAATTTAAAATTTTTTCAAATTATAAAAAAAATTGACATATATAAAAAAAATATTTATTTCTATTCTAATGTCCAAAATTCTAAGATAAAAAACCAAAACAAGTGCTTTTAAAATCTATGTAAAGTAGTATGAAATAAATATATATATATATATATATATAGATATATATATAATGAAATAATTCACTTAATATTATATTATTTGTGAAAATATTATACAAAAAAATTATGAAAATATAATTTATTTTAATTGATATAGATTATGTTTTAAATACTTTTAAAGAACATTAATTCGCAAGATATTACACAATAAATATAAAGGTGAAAATAATCTTAGATTCACTAGTTTGAATTGGAAATGAATACAATGTCAATAAAAAATTAATTAATTATATGATTTTTCCAATCTATCACCAAGTTAATTTTACAGTCTTTAAAATATTAGAACAAAGTAGCATTCTCTTTAGTATTTATTGAAATAAAAGTATTATAAGAAGAAAATTTTGAATTAATATTATCAAAGACAGTACTTACTTGCATACATAAGAGTTTTAAAGAACTAGTCAACATATTAATAACAATTCAAATTTATTAAAGTCACAAAAAACAGAATAATATATATATATATATATATCAAATATGAGTAGTTTAAAAAAATAATGACTTACTTACATCACATACATAAGATTGTGAAGATATTTATTGTTATTTTTTCATATATTCCCACCTGCAATAAAATTAAAATTAAATTTTAAATGTTAATTGCAAAACAAATGTTTGTTCTACTCAAAAGATCTTAGGCTTTGCAACATTAAAATTTTTATAAATTAGCAAGTAAACATCTAATTAAGTATTGCAAGTAAGCATCTAATTAAATATTGCAAGTAAGCTATAAAATTTTGTTTTAACATCAAATTATAAAAATTCAAATTCTTTAAACTTCATAATACCCTTCTGTGCAAAAAATAGCTCTAAATCTTATTTTATGTTGTTGTACCTTTATTTTCGTATACCTTGTTTGTTGCTCCATGAAGATTAAAAGAAGTTTGCAAGGACAAAATAACTTGTACAACAAAGCACAAACTTTACTAAATGTTGCATCACAATTACTTCCAACATAAAGGCTACAACTTGCGGAATAGAACAACATTAAAAACTACAAAATATTTAGAAATAAAAATAAAAATAAAACCCACATAGAAAGCATTGAAATAATTTTAGATAACAAGGGAATTTTCAGAATAGCATACTCAAAAAGCTATTTTATCTCAGCATTGTTGGCATATTGGAGAAAGGAAGTGTTATGCACAATACAGTCCTACATACTCTTACCAAATATCTATTGCTATGTAGGATATTGCTACTAACACCTCAAGACTTGAATCAAGATATCAGACATTTCTGAATATACATCCACGATTCACAATAGTAAAACATCCATGAGAGATATTTAAGAGTCTAAGAGACACCATCTTCCTCTTGTATTTCTCATGTTAACTTCTAACTTAAATAACTGAATCAGTTTTTGATCAGTTGTGTCTTGAGTATCATTCCCTATGACATTATCTTGCATGATTGTTTCCTCACTGATTGAAATAAATCAAAACAGAATCAAGTGGAATGATCACAAATTGGTTATATTGCATTAGTTGTGGGTGATCGAAATGGTGATGTTGTGATTATCTTACAACTTCCTGTATCAGAAAAGTAGCATTGCTTGCGAACAAATTGTTTCTCTCCTCTTTTGCAACTTGATCTGTTATGAGGGTCAAGTTGCTCTGCTGAGTTTCAACTAGCACTGCCCCTATTTTCTACGAAGAAGAGAAGCTAGAGCTTGCAGTTCACCTTCATCAGGTTGGTCCTCCATGCTCACGCTTCTGGTTTTCTGCAGCGAACTCAGAAGACTCTGTGCTGCAGACGTGGGCTCCATGCTGCTGGATGGCATTCCGAAGTAGTGATGAGCTGCTTGTTGCATGCCTTGAAGCCTGTAGCCGACCTCTTCCTTCACACGGGAGTTGCTGTATGTGTCTGCAGCGCTGGATCGCCCGGGCATGCCCATGGACAAGCCTGGACTCGAGGAGACGTGTGCCTGATCCACCAGATGATGTTGCTGCATGTACTCCGGTGGAGGTTGGTTGAACACTATCCGTTGTTGATGGTGCGTTTGTTGGAGATGTGCTTGCCGGTCTGCTAATTGCGCTTGCACCATCGCCAGCTCTGCTTGTAAACTTGACACCTAAATTGCAAGAAGAAGAAGATTTTATCGATTTCAAAGCGAGTCAAACTCAGTGCTGCAAAATTGCACGATTTGATCATGAATCAATGAATCAGCTAATATCTTCAATAGGATAAAGGATCTTCCACTCTTGAACGCAATTTAAGACAATTCACAACGCAAATTGCATGTGTAAATGATTGACTTGTTGGTGTCCAGCATCTCTGCATTCTCCGACTTCCATTTAGAAAAAATCTCTAACTTAAGATATCTCTGGCTAAAGCGAACAAACAATCGACCCTATATATTGTATCCGAAGGGCTCGATCCAATAACCTCATTACATATCAGATGAACGTGAATTTCCATAACAAATAAATACGTAGGTCAAATTCAACTTCTTATTGCACTTTAAGCCAGCTATAATCGATTTTTACTGCAAAAAAAATAAAATAATTGTATCGCCGCCACAATCCTCTGCTGACCCAATCCTCAGTGCAATTTGATAAAGAAATCATGATTCACTAGCACAAATTTCAAACAGAGATTTGATATTTTGGTGGCGCTTGAGTCGTAATACATATGGTGACACTTATGCGGAAGTAAGTGTAATACTCCATGGGCTAAAACTACAAAAACTCATTAAATCAGCCAGCTGCTGAGGTGCAGCTGTAGGAACCGGTTTAATTGGCTTCCTAGAAACTTTAGATGCTGCTTCCTAGATTTTTTGGCAGTAAATCCGCTCTGACGACATCTTACCACGGTCAGTATAAAACCAGACTTTTCAGTAGTCTAACATTGGTTCCAATGACTCGTTGTCATGAAGCACTAGATAAGTAAGGGCCTAAGTAATATTCAAGAACGGCTGATAGTTATTCAGTAATGTCATGAATTGAATGGTGCATGGCATTGTTTGGGACCATTGGCATGTCATTCGTAGCAAGTACCATTTCTTGAAATATCATGTAGGTGCTGTTTCCTGTAAACTAGTCCGGGTGATCCAATCCTACAGTTAGATAGAAATACTATGTTTGTACTTCTGACAAGGATAACTTGTTGTAGCTAGTTAACTGCGAATGAACTGTTGGTAACAAAACAGAACTGATCCCTCCGTCGTATTGAGGATGGAAGTTCCGTAATGAGAATATATTCCAGCGCCAGCTAGAGAAGCTCAAGTCTAGTGAAACTGTAATGTACATCTAACATAGTTGAATCTGTTGAACGACACCCGATGAATCGATTTCTGTTAGCACAAATGTCGCAGAGACTTTGGATACGGTCATTGACTAATGGCAACGAAGATCCATTTAACTTCTGAACATACGACGCCATGTACACGATCAGACTCCAGTCTGTCAATCCGAATATCGTGGAGCTGAGGCTGGGAATGCCAAGACCTACTCTTAATCGTAAAACATGCGAGCTAACCGAATCTTTCGGGATACTAACGTTTTACAATACCGATGGTCTAGTTAGTCGCTCAAACGTTTTGTGCTTCAATCCATCCTGCTTCAGATAACGCTACATGCGGTGCCACTAATCAAAAATATATCGTCGCCTACTTCCGGTTGAAGCGTAAGGTGATCTAACATTCATGTAATACCCTAGTTAAAAGTACCGAGACTGCTGTGTAAGGTTTAGGCAAGTGTGGAAAGCATTTATCTGCGGAACAAATCTGCAAGTCGCAACAACTATGACTGGGGAAACACGGATAATCATACGAACACTAATTATTTGAGAACTCATCGGAATTCGGCAGTCAGAAGCGCGGATGAACATACTGATGAAAGGAGCTCTTAGTCTAATTCACGCCTCAGAGAGAATAGAATCACGGACCTCAGAGGTTTCCAAGTAGTTTGAGCAGCAAGTAATGATTTTACAGTAGAACGTGGGTTTGGACGGGGCTGATAACATTTGGAGAAGTAAGAACCGCGAATAGGGTGTGTCGGAGCGTACCTGCTGCTGGAGAGCGAAAATCGTGGCGACGCAGCCATACACGGGATCAGAAAGTCTAGCCTGTGCTTCATAGCTTATGGTGAGCACTGCATCGGAACGGTGGGGCGTGGGAATATGCACCAGCAGCTTCGCCACATTACTGGCACCAAACACCTTGTGCACGGCAGCAAACTTTGAAGCCCCTTGCTCCGCGCTGAAGTATGGAGCGAATATGCACCCACGGACACACTTTCGACGCAGGAATTTGCACGCGCCACAGGGCGCTCCATTGTTCATAGAGGAGCTGTACCCAACGCCAGCCCCTTTTCGCCGAGCAGAATGATTCGGATTAGTGCCCCCTCCGGTCCGGGCCGTTGTTACAGGAGAGGATGTTCTAGTCGCATTATCCAACGCCCCCCCGCATTCTTGCTCAGTGCACCCTGCCGAAGTCGAATCTGTTGCACCTGGTTCCTTACCACTCGTATCTAGATTTTGTGTCTTCGATCCACTAGGATTATTTCTCTCGGCCAGTTGGTGACCCCAATTATCTAGTTGGTCTTTATCTTTCCCTGACCAACTCTCTAGCGCCCCTCGGATGGCCTCCGGATTCCAAATCTCAAGATCCTGCCCGCTGAGGAGTAGTTCGTCGCTACCCTCAGGGTGGCGCTTCCTTCTGTCTTCCAGGTCGACGTTTGTCCCTAACCCCCACCCTGTCACTGCACTTGTAACCCTTTCGCCCCCCACAAGTTTCCGCAGTGTGGTGCTCCCTGGACTTGCCAGCCTGCTCCTAGAGGGGTCAAAGTTATCCAAACTTTGAACTTAAGCAGATACTACTGCACGATGTGCTTCTCAAAGCAAGTGAATCCAGAAAATGTAGCGATAATTAAGCACCCCACACGCATCTCATGCTTGACTTGCACCTTTAGCTTTGTCGATTGAATGAAGCTTGTGAATCCGGGGCAGGAACTGTGATTATACTTTGATGAGCTCAACTGATATTGTGGTTGAATAGATTGTCATGGATAAGATCGCGAATAACGCTGCTACGTTTCCACAAACTCTAGAGATGAAAGCATCTCCGACCAGTTCCGGTGATGTAGAACCTGCAACCCACTATGCAAAACCCTTGGCGCTAAAACATTATCCTTTATGAGCGTGCATGAAGAGGGAGAACCTCCAGATAGCATAAACGAAGACAGCTTGAAAGAAAAAATCCAGAACATTAGAACCACAAGGAAGACAGTGATGGCAGAAACCTAAGATGCTCACACGCTCGCACTTATGTTCGACGGGAACGATCGACAGGAATGGTCTTGTCAACCACTTGTTAGGAGAAGTTTGCTTGCGAATTAGAGAGAAGGAAAGTGATTTCCGCTAAGTAAATGGCCAACCCAGAATCAGCCTAAAAAGATTATACTAGTGAAGTGTTCACAATGAAGAGATACTTTGAGAGCGTGTGACTGCCGGCGCGTGTAGACAGATAGAATAGTTGATTCCGAGGGTTTTGGACTCGACAGGGTGTCGTTCAGTGTGAGCGAGAAAGAATGTAAAAGAGCGAGAGGAACCATGAATGAGCTCTTGTAGGCATGGATGTCGGAGAAGAAAACGTGGGATCATTCGCAGATCTATTTTTGCTCGGTGATAGGGACGAGACAGCTCTTCGTCAAACTCCCGCTCCCAAATTTAGCTTTAACAATTGCCCACCAGGTAATGGAATCATCGTTAACCCGATCAAAACTCAGATCAGTAACTTCGTCCCCATGGTCGGTTGCCGATTTCTGGAAGGATTGAATCGTGACGCTCCTCAGACGTCCACATGTTCCCGAATTTAGCGGCCGGTAAAGTTGCGGCCGGCATTTTCGTCTAAAAGCAAAGAATGGGAAGCAGGTTCAGGTTCATAGTTTTAAAATTCTAAAAGACTGATTGGAATCACATAGTCGGTTAGGCTACTAAGAGAATAACTGCTTACTACTTTAAGATACTTCATGCAGTCCAGCCGGAGGAGCTTCCCAGGCAAGACAAAGTTAACACGACAAAATCCACGGCATTAGTGGTGCTCAGAACAGCAAAGGACGGTGTATGGAGGAGCGGAAAATCTTACAATGGCTCCACAATCGGAGACAGATCAGTTCCTCAAAGACTCTATGACAGGCTGATAATGAAAAGTCGGCTCTAAATCGGACGCTAGTGGGTCTGAATTCTACATGGTTAAATTATCTTAAATTGATGGAAGGAAAAGCCCCCCAAAATCAATCCATAACAATTCATGTTTATTGTGTAAACAATACCTCTCTAAATCGCAGTCTATGCTTCAGGTATTCCTCTATCCCCTGGTCAGTGCAAAAATCTCCTTCAACATCACTTTCTTTCTAGCTCCGAGTAGAACTTCCTAGATGTCGCTTTCTTCAACCATTTAGGGTTTGTCCTAGACCCTTCAACATAGCAGTCAGAGTGAACACGCTGCTCTCATGAAGTAATTTAGTGTTGCCTAGTATTCAATGTTTAATGATTATGCAATATAAAAGGGTTGTGAAAAGTGATGTCATCTAGAATTAAAAAAATAAGTGGATGCACGGTGATAACCAAACAGAGGGTTTGCTTTTATAGAAAAGGATGATGGACGTGGATTTAAATATGTATTAAGCAGCACCAAGTTCATTCATGAGTACAGCTGTAGAAACAAAAACATTACTATTCTCTTGATGGTAATATTTTTGTATACTCTAGACAATCAGAATGTTTTAACACCGTCTTAATTTCTGATGAAATGCAGACTGATCAAGAAGAGGATGATTCGCTTCCCGTTGGAATTGACGGTGAAAGTCTACGACGACAGGCTAGTTTTTATTGATGTTGCAAGATGCATGATTTAGCGTCGCACAAGTCCGATCACAACGAAATATTCTAATTTCCTACAAATATAAACTCCCTTTCGCTGTACAACCGAGAAAGTAGTGCTCAAACATTGCATGTGGTACCTTAAACCTTCACAGTAATGCCGCAACCATTCTCTGTAGTTTTTGACCACAGGTGACGAGAAAGGAGTATCAGCATCTCTTCATTTTTTCACTAAATAATCCAATCCCGATCCTAATCCCAATCTCTCAAACGATGGTCAACCACGACTAAGTGCTTCCGAAAGCTTTTACTTAGAGACAGAAGCCACAGAAACAAAGGTACTGCCCTAAAGGCTCGTGACCATCACATAACCCTACGCTGTCTGAGACGCCTGATCTCGAGAGAAGGACAGCTCATTCCCCCACCAACATCGTGATAGGCCACTGTCGACGTATCTGCATACAATCACATTACTTCCCCAAAAATGTTCTCACAAATTCCAACTCGGATGCCATTACGTCGAAGGCCAACGTGTCGTAGCGATGTGGGACTTAGCAACAGCATAAATCGGTCTCAGTGCTCACCATCCATGACAATCTCGCAACCTAGCAGCTGTGGCCTGACAGCAAGGTAAAGGCTATTTCAGCCTGGAAGTGTGAACCTCTAGACAAATATTAATACGTAGCTACCCGCTGAATCATATCAGAATACGAACCTGTGGATGGTCTAGTCTACCACTACTAAAAATCTAGACTAGAACACAAGTTACGACATACACCTACCCATATATGCGACAATTCATTGTTGTTTTTTTTTTAACCCACTCAGGCTCCTAAAAAAGCAGGCCACCGTGGCTTATACCACTCTGGGAAGCACCAAGACTGGTGAGCCGTGGTGGTGTGATCATGTGGGCTTGGCTAGGCTACCATTGGAAAACGAATCGCTGCAAGGGGACTTAGAGTGCCACCAGCCAGCACATTGTTGGATTCATGGGGTAGTGCCCAAGAACCCAATGGAAGTTTATTGTTGTTGTTGTAGTATCTAGTTTCGCTGGGGGAGGCTATGAAAAGGTGTTTTTGCGGCGTCGCAAACGTGGCAGAAGGAGCTGCCATCTCCCACGGCTTTCCCAGCTGCATGGATAAAAGCTTCTGGCTCTGCTACAGAAAGGTTTTGCTACTTCACTCTTGATGTCTATTTTAGACCACTTTGGGGGCAATGCCCACTCATTCGTATCCACGTTTGTGGATGAGTTGGGGTTGACTTTGTAACTTCGCACACTCACAAGGCCTGAATTTTGGTTATTTTACTTAACTGCACTAATTATATACTTTATATTTTTAAAAAATAAAGGTTGATGAATCTTCCAAGTTTATAGATATATATTAATCTTTAATATAACCCTAAAATAAACATTTGGATCTTTGAATCATGTCAAAGTTAACTTCTTCTTTTCTTGGTTTTGTCATGGGGTTTTATTTTTGGTTGTATTTTAATATATATATATATATATATATATATTGATTACTTGTATACTATTAATTTAAATAAAAATGATTGATATTTATCTATCAATAAAAAATTTAGCAAAAATAATAGAAACATTAGATTGTGAGGGATTAATTGACGTGTTTTTTTTAAGTTAAATTAATATATATATATATATATATATATATATATATATAACTTGAATAAAATTAAAATACTTTATAGAAAAAATTCAGATATTTTTAATTAGAAAGAGAAACAAAAAGTATAGTTATTACTGAAATTATTTCAAATTTTGGTTCTAATGATGACTTTAAAGCAATCTATTTATATATGGCCTCTCAAACAAATTAAAAATAGAAGTAGCTAATATACTTATAATTTATTTTTCAAATAAATCTTGATTAAATAGTAAGAGTCTTATGTAGAAATAATCCTCAATACTTTTTGGGATTTGTATTAGAATTTGATTGTTTTGAAATTGGTTTCAATTTATTTTGAGTGTTTATCATAAAAAAATTAATTTAAATTAAAATATCTTCATATAACAAATAAAAAATTAAAGATAAAAATAAATTATTAAAATTTTAAATAAATTTTAAATCTAAAATTTATAAATAAATTTTAACTCTAAAATTTATAAATAATTATTGATTGATTATAAAAATATCACGAAATTACAATAGTAAGAAATTTAAATTTTGTTATTTTTATTGAAAGATAAAATAAATATAAGTTGGAATAAAATATAATAAAATTAAAATAATAAACTTTATTATATTATATAAAAATAAGTAAATATATACTCATTGTATATATATTCATAATATAATATTATATTAAAATAAGTACATAAACTCTATAATATTACATAAAAATAAGTAAATATATAGAATTTTAATTTTTTAAATTTTAGATGGTAGTAAATTTGCCAATAAAATCAAATATTTTCTGAAATTTATATTTATAATTTATAAGTCCATTTTTTATTAATATTATTTTTGCAATGAAATATAAATAGTTATTGCATAGTTCAAGTTTATTTTGTGTATATATATTCATTGTAGAAAGAATATTTTTAATAGGAATAACATTATAAAAAAAATCAACAATGAAGTCTAATTTGTACATCAAATTAGAAATAGATAGAAATAGATTTATAACTTCTATGTGATTTGAATTTAATTTTGAAGGTATTAACTACCATATTTGGAAAAAATAATAATAATAAATTAAAAATATAAATAAATAAATAAATGATAGTTAAAATAAAACTTTAATCTTTACAAGAAGAGTCATACTCAACTCCTATTTATGCTACAAAATTCTAACAACTTGCTTGTAATGTGAATTAAAATGATAAGACTTTTATAAATCATTTTTCATATAATTCAAAAGATAATCTTAAAGGTTTATTCTTAACACTACTAAAAGTGGATTTATGAGGATAATTTATCACTTAAGTAATTGTATGTAGTACTTAACTCTTGAAAAGGTATTAAGAACAAAAATTTGATAAAAAAGAGATAAATTAAGTAATGACAACAACTTCTAGATCTTCATAAATTTGTTTATCAAGGCTAGAATCTATACAAATTGATACAAGTTGATTCAAGTAGGTAATATAAAAATTTAAAAAATGAATTCATTCATATATCATTCATAGATAAAAATTGAAAAATAATAAATAAATATAAGATGGAATGTAATTAAAATGACTATGACCAATTATAAAGAATCTAAAAAATTTAAACTAAGATTGGAATATAAAAAATGTATTGATAAGATTAAAGATGGCCTTAGTCTTATTTCTAAAAATACTATCTACTAAGGTCTTATAAAAGCTTCTTAGAAACTATAATGCTTGTGGACTAACTATCAAGTTGTCAGTTGCTTCTGATGTAATTATTCAAATATAAAAACTTGTGAAATAAATATATATATATATATATATATATATATATAATATCTACAAAGGTCTAAGTATGTAATTTACGTCAAAGAAAATTCCTCAAAGATTTTAAAGAAGACATTATCTACCAAATATGTTTCTACTTACTTCTACTTTTCTCTTTTTATTCCTATTTAGCTGAGTAATAAAATTATTTTCTAAAATTCGAATGAAATTTGATAACTTTGCTTTTACAAAGCATTGAAATGATAATGTTATATTATTACAAATAGTTAAAAAAAATCTTTAAATTATTGAGGATAAGAAATTAAAGAGCTTATTTTTGGAAGTGAT